TACCCTAAGTGTCAGCAGACAATGTGAAATGTCAATTTAAGTGCAAGGTAAGCATATTTTTTTAAATTAAAAAAAATCAAGGGCTTGACAGGTACAGAACAGGCTGGAATTTAGAGTTTTCAGTAATCGAGGTGACAGTTATTCATCAGAGAAATAAGCAAAGGGCTTCTCAGAGTGAAAGGTAAATCATCGTGAGTGAGGGTAATGGTTCTCAAAGTGTGTGTGTAAACCTGACGCATCCCCAAGACTCTCTAGGAGGCTGGGGTCCACTGGCCTAGGGGTCCTCCTCTTCCCAATCACAGAGCTATGTGTGCCCAGATCTCCAAACACCTCAACCAAAACTACACCTCACAGCAGCATGAATGGAGAAGCGGGTAGCTAGGAGAACACAGCTGTCATCAAGATAGGCACTTAAAGAGATTTGTAAAAATGTAAAGCAGTGACATACCCACTAGATTTTTTTTTTTTCAGAAAATGTACCAACTTTTCATAAAAAATGGTATTTATGCTATTGTGTAATGGATTTATTATTTTATTTTTTGGCTTTTTGAGATAGGGTCTCACTTTGTGATTCATATTGGCTCTGAAATCACTATGTAGCCCAGGCTGGTCTTGAACTCCCAGTGATCTTCCTGCCTCAGCCTCCTGAGTGCTGGGGTTACAGGTGTACACCACCACACTCGGCTTTGGATTTATTATTTTAAATGAATTAGTTGTATAGACTTTTAAATTTTCTCAACTTTAATTTCTTATATGGTACATATCAGTAGATGGAATCCATATAAACAAAATATTTGGGTGGCCTCCATAACTTTTAAAAGTTTTTTTTTTTCTCCAGAAATCAAACTCATGACCTTGCACTTGCCAGGCAGGTGCTTATGCCACTGAGCTATATCCCTGGCCCCATAACTTTTAAAAGTTTAAAGGGGTTCTGAGACCAAAAATTTAGAGAACGTTTGTCCTAGAGATTTGGCTTCTGGTTTGGAGTCTGGGACATTTACATTAGCTGATCCCCATGGATGCTCCAGTTGCTTTATAAAATGGCATAGTATATGCATAGTTAACCTGTGCACATCTGCCTGTACACTACATTAGCTGTAGGTGACTTATAAAACCTACTACAATGTAAATACTATGTAAATAGCTCTTATATTTTATTTAGTGAATAGAGACAAGAAGAACATCTGTACATGTCAGTACAGGTTGCTTTCCACCAATATTTTTGATCCTTGTGTGGTTGAATTTATAGATATGAATCTGTGGGTATAGAGGGCAGGCTGTATAATTTCAGGGTCCAAAATTCAACCAGGATAATTTTCAAGGAAAGTTGGTAGGAAACCACAGCAGGGAAATCTCAGATTTCAGGAGTAGGGGGTGAAGAAAGCAGAAGCCAAACCTCAGTTCATCTGTTTACTTTTGCATCTTCCTGGCTTTGTGTAAAAGAGTGATGAGGGTGAACAAGAAAATTAATAATAAGGAGAATAATCAGGAAAAAAGCAGATCAATGGAGATGGTTCTGGGTAGGAAGCACTGCCACCCCACCAACAGCTGTTTAGGTCTCGGTTCTGTACTGCTACCATTGTGTGCTAAAACTTTTCTGATAGACTTGATGTATAGACTCAAAGAGGCTGTGTAGCCTGGTTAAAATTCAAGAGAATACTGGTCAAGGTGTGACAAAGATGATGATTCACATTTATATTTGGTGGAGAAAGGAAGATGATGGCTTGGGTTTTGAACAAGAGAAACTTGGTGGAGGTGTCTGATAGGTAGTTAGAAATAAGTGTCTAGCCCAGAATAGCAAAAGTAATTCCCAGACTAGCAGAAGTAATTTTGGGGCATAGGAGCAAAGAAGGAGGCACAGAAATACTTGATTTTAAGTCACGCTACAAAGCAACAGTGATACAAATGGCATGGCACCGGAGCTACAACATGCATGTGGACCAATGGAACAGAATGGAGGATAAAGAAACCTCCCCAGACATATTCAACTATTTTATCTTTGACAACGGGATGAAAAGCAGATGTCGGACAAAAGATGGACAATGTAAGAAGTGGTGTTGGGAAAACTGGTTACCTGTTTCCAGAAGAATGAAACTTGACCAATATCTCTCACTGTATACTAAATTAAAATCAAATCAAATCAAACATTAAGCATACTGAAATATAAAACAGGTAAAACACTTGAAGACATGGGTGTAGGAAAGGATTTTCAAAACAGCACCTCAGTTGCACAAGAAATAGCAAGAATCAACAAATGGGATTATATCATACTAAAAAGCTTCTGTACAGCAAAAGAATCATTCAGTAGAGTGAAGAGACAACCTATGGGATGGGAAAAATTTTTTCCAGATACTTTTCAGACAAAGGACTATTATCCAGAATATGCAAAAAACTCAAAAACATTAAATCACCTAACATTAAAGATTCAGTCAAAAAATGAGCAAGAGAAATGAACAGACATTCCACAGAGAAAGAAATACAAATGGTCAACAAATATATGAAAAAATGTTCAACATCTCTGGCCATTAGAGAAATGCAAATTAAAACAACTCCATCTTACTCTGGAAAGAATGGCAAATCGCTTCTCGGTCTTTTGCCTAAGATCAAGTGAAAAACGGCAATCACTAAGAAATTGAACAGTAACAAATGCTTACAAGGGTGTGGTGAAAAAGGAACACTCCTTCATCACTGGTGGGAATGCAAACTAGTACAACCATTGTGGAAATCAGTATGGAGCCTTCTCAAAGAACAGAAATTCCATATGACTCAATGATCGCCCCCCCCCAAGTATCTTCCCCAAGGAGCTTAAGTCATCCTACTACAGCAATTCATGCACATCAACGTTTATAGCAGCACAATTTGGAATAGCTAAGTCCTGAAAGCATCCTTTATACTCATCAACAGATAATTGGATAAAGAAAATGTGATACCTGTGTATAATGGACTACTACTTGGCTATACAGAAGGAAACATTTGTAGGAAAATGGATGCACCTGGAAAATATAATGTTGAGTGAAATAAATCAGACACACAAGATACTGTGTGGTAGTTCTCATTTGAGTGAGGCAAAGAACAAACAAAGGAAAGGATAAAAGATGGGTGGAAAGGGACAAGGGGATAGGTCTCTTGCAATAGGGAAATGGTTCAAGAGACAAGGGAGAGTGGGGTGGGGAACTGAAAGGAATAAAGATGAGCCAGGCACAGGACCCTAACAACCCCAATTAATGTAAACACCCTGTGCCCTCTCATGGGTAAGACAAATAATATCAACAAGTGTGAAAATTGGGACAGGGGACCCAGAGGAAGAGGAGAAGGAAAAGGAGGGGCATCTGAAAAAAGAAATAAGCTATAACATGTACATGTAACCACTCCCCACCATGACTGTAAACATGGGCTGCATGAACTGCAAACAGGTACTAGTAAAATAAAATAAAATTTAAAGAAAGAAGTAAAGGTCTGAATCTTGGCACTGTGACTGTGGCTGCACGCATTGCCTTGGGATCTGCATTCTATAGAAGTGTCTGAAGCTGTGGACAGATGAGGTGCCTTCCTAACTGTGTCTGTTTTGCTTTCTCAGATCTTCTCTGTGGCCTATGTGTTAATCAAATTTGCAAATTCTCCTCGCCCGGCTCTTTGGGTCTTGGAAAGATCTGTAGACTTTGGAAGCACCTATACCCCATGGCAATATTTTGCTTGTAAGTAATCTTGTCTATCGGGTTATAAGGGGTTTTAATTATTTGCAACAGGTCAAGACTATGGATTTGATAGAAAATTAGTCTGTCAGTGTGTCAGTCTCTTAACCATCTAAACTGACTCTCCCCAGACCGTGTTCATTTCTCAAGCATGTGTGCATTCATTCCTAGGATATCACACGCAGAGCTGAGGGCATAGCTCCTTTTACAACAGTTCTTGCCATTATTTGTGGGTACTTATTACTGGGCCACAAGTTTGACCCTTTCTTTTTTACATAGAGTTAGGAACCTTCGTGGGTAACACACTGTACATGACCTGACCCTCTTATCTACACTAATGAAGAATGTCAGTTTCCCCAGGCCCTGCGTAAATCGAGGAGGACAAGAAATTTCCCTAAAAGAATTTTGAGTTTTCCCTGAAAACTCCTTGGAGGCTCAATTTGCCACACAAGATGAGGAGTTAGCACTACAGCTTCAAAATTGCCCTTGAAAGTCAAGTAGCTTTAATGGCTTGGTACTGATGTTCATGAGCTAAAAACATATAGGTTTTTGTCTGAAAGTCTAAAAGACTTCTCTGTCCTTTCTCTATTCATGTATTTTCTTAAGACTTCTTAAGAGGTTTACAAAAATTAAAATCTTTTACTTTAAAATATTAAAATATTTTTTTTCCTAGCATCTGCTGCAGACTGTGTGAAACAGTTTGGGAAGGAGGCAGATCAAACTATTACCAGGGACGATGATGTGCTGTGTGTTACACAATATTCCCGTATCGTACCTCTGGAAAATGGAGAGGTACGTAGATTTGGGAGGCTGTGAGAGGTGAGACTCAGAAATGAACGTGAGAATATCATATTTTTCATAGCTGTGAAGATGATACTTTCAGGGAGGTCCAATATATACTATAGATCAATGAGTGCTTGGGACTGAATGATAAAGCAATCACATCGAGACTGCCAGCATGGTGGGGCTGGAAAGTATGTTTTGGGTCTTGGGTTCTCAGAGAGTCAGAATTTGGGATTCAAGTTCTGCAAGTCTGAAGTGCTCCTTTCTGGCGATAGGTTTAGAAAGTGGGTCACTGCTGGCTGAAGCCATGACTCCCACCCTCTCCTCACTCATTATCCCCAGCTAAAGTGAGGCAGCAAGGGACAGGTGCAGGGCTAAGCTCCAACCCTTTTTGGCAAGATGAACATTATCTGTTGGGGAGGAGAAAATTGCTGTCTGTTTGGCATTTCCTCTGTCCCTGGAAAAGTCAGCCTGCCTATTGTTAGGGGAGGTGGGCAAACAGTGGGGAGAAGAATTCTGTGGAAATGGGGAGGCCGTACTGAACATGATCTGAGTTTTACATCAATTTCCACTTAGAGTATCAGTCTCCCACTCTTTAAGAAGAGATCTCAGCACTCAGGAGGCTCAGGCAGGAGGATCGCTGTGAGTTCGAGGCCTTCTTGGGCTACAAAATGAATTCAAAAAAGAAAAAGAAGAGAGATCTTACTTGAACAACTCTATCCAGTGTTGTCCACCAATTCCTGAGCATTTTATGTTTCAAATTGCTGAGACTTGGACTTCATCAGTTCAAGCTTTTAAATAAAAGCTGGATTTTGGATAGTTGTAGGGGGTTTTTTGGTTCATTTTTTTCAACCTCACTTGAATTTTTGGATGCTTCAGCTTTGCTTCTTCGATGCAGCTTGACACAGGTTGTTTCCTATTTGTAGATTTTATCTTTATATCTACAATATTTCACAATGTGGCAGCCCCACAAAACACTGGTAGAAGAAAGGGTTATGCAATTTAAAACAACACTGAGATACCATCTTACTCCAGAAAGAATGGCTATCAGCAAGAAATCAAATAATAACAAATGCTGGTGAGGATGTGGGGAAATGGAACTCTTCCACACTGCTGGTGGGAATGTAAAGTAGTACCACTGCTATGGAGATCAGCATGGAGATTCCTCAAAAAACTAGAAGTAGAAATTCCATGTGACCCGGCTGTTCCCCTTCTAGATATCTTCCTGAAAGAGTGGAAGTTATCATTGCAGGAATACATGCATACCTATGTTTGTAGTACAGCAGCACAATAAATAACAGCTAAATCTTGGAAACAACCCAGATGCTCATCAGCAGATGAATGGGTAAGGAAAATGTGGCATTCACACACACAGTAGAGTACTACTCTGCCATAAAGAAGGACACACTGGAATCATTTGTAGGAAAATGGATGCACCTTGAGACCATAATGTTCAGTGACATAAATCAGAAATGCACACTTAAATATTGTGCAGTTTCTCTATGAGAAACCTAGAATATAAACTAAAAACAGAAGAGCAGATAATGCAAAGTCGGGAGGTAGATCTTTCTAAAAGGGGAAAGGGATCAGGAGAGGGAGGGAAGAGGAAAGGAAGGGATGAAAAAGGAACTAAGATGTGTTCTGTACATACAGCAATTCAACACAAGGAATGTGAACATTATGCATTTCAAACATGTACCAAAAATAAAAGGAAGGGAATCAATAGATGAAGGGATCCCAGCAGTCAGGAGGCCGAAGCAGGAGGATTGCCATAAGTTCAAGGCCTGCCTGGACTACACAGTGAGTTCAAGGATAGCCTGAACTACAGGGCAAGGAGGACT